AACTTAATTAAGCAAGCTAAGTTAAAATATAGAGAGTAAAAGATATTCGTTTGAATTTCAAACCAAAGAAGTGAACAAAATTCACAATAAAATCTATATTAGGTAAGAGAAATTCAAGATCAAATTGAGATAGTAGGGTAATAAAGATTAAAAATAATTTATCGTAAAAGGGAAAGAAGGCATTCCTTGGATTATAAAAGCAGTAAGATAATTAGTTCAGGAGGGTGAAAGAAATTTAAGCTCAAATTGTGACTGTTGGGTAAACTAAATTTAAAAAAAAACACTAAAATAAATTAAGAGCCTTTCGTTTCAGTCATTTAAATAGCAGAGAAAAATAAATTCGTGATAAATCTCTATTTAGTAAGAGAATTTCATGATCAAATAGAGACAGTTGAATAAGATGAATTCACCATCGTAATGAAAGAAATACCGTTTGAATATAAAAAGCAGCACTGTAAAAGAAATTCATGATAAAATTCTATTGGGTAAGAGAATATCATAATTCCCTTTTATCAGATAGCAGAAATTTACAATAAATTTCTATTAAATAAGGAAAATGTATGATATATTTGTGTTGGATAAGAGAAATTCATGATAAATTCTATTGGATAAGAGAACATCATCATCCACTACTATAGATTAGAGAAATTCATGATAAATTTCTATTGGATAAGAGAATGTCATAATCCACTTCTATTATATTAAAGAAATTCACAATAAATATCTATTAAATAAGAAAAATGTACGAGATATCTTTTTAAATAAATTTCATGGTACAACAGAAAATATTTGTTAAAAAATTGTATTAGATTTGAATCTGGAAGAGTCGTTTATTAGTAAAAATATATAAATAAATTTATTAACGCGACCTTACTATTGAGTTAGACATCATAAACGTCTAAAAGAGACAAATGTTAATATTCATCCCACAATAATCCATTTACTCAATCATGTAAATTTATTTGAATCTTAATGAAAGGTTAGACGTATCCTTCAGCATATTTTTTTATATATATTGTATTATTTATTTTGAACAATTGGTTCATTATGTACACACGTTTCAAAAACACAAGACAAAAAATTGGAAATTGAAGATTTTTTAAATTTCTATTAATCTTCAGCGGGAAACCATAAACTATAAGTCATAATTTATTTATTTTCCTACGTATTTCCTCGTTTTTCCTTTATTTTCCTTTTCTTTCTACCTACCATATACTAATTTATTTATTAAGAATTTCAAAATTATATATAAAGGGGATTTAAACATAACACAAATTTTGTTCTAGAAATAACCGTACAATTTATATCGTAGAACGTTGTTTTCTAAGAAAACAAGCGACAAATTATATTATTTAGGTTTTAAAAATTATCATTGAAACGAAGAATTAACATGGACATAGCGCACAAAGGGTAATGAATTTTAATGAGAATCAGATGAGAATATAAATCGGCTGACGAATAAAAAGTTCTGACGTAAAACCAAAGTGCAAAACAGAGAAATGACGTTAACGATAACAAAAAGAAGGCGCAAACAAACGTAAACAATTGATTTATTGCTCTTTATAAATTTTCTTTATCCGCCGTCTTTAAAACGAAATTTATTCAACACACACACAAAAAAAGGTCCTCTTTACAGAGAAGGAAACGAAGTACAAAAGAAAGCTTTAAAATGTATTGTTATCTTCGGCCGGGCTTTTGCACGAGGCGCTTTCAAGTAGAGCCCGCCGACCCCAAAGCTTTCCATCGCGAAAACTAGCAGAGAATGAAAGAAATTTAAATCTTGTCCGAGGGGGAGGGGCGAATCCGGCTATCGCGAATAAAATGTTAAAATGTCTCGTGGGAAGAGAGAACAAGAGAATCTAATACGAACCCGACACGTGGAAGCAGTAAAAGAGACTTTTGAACCGATGCCAGACTTAAGTAGAAAGCTACAGAAGAAAATCGGAAATCTTATTTAAAAAAAAGTCAAATAGTGCTCTTTCATCCCGATTGAAGCCACAAGTACGGTCAATGATGTATCACGCAAATATGCTGGATTTACTTCCAAAACAATACTTGAAAATTTAAATACAACAAAAATGTTGCCTACCAAGAATTAGGTCATCATATTTTTATACAATCAATAGCAAAATGATCTTACTATTTTTCAGTGATAGTTAATCTTTTATGAAACTTGAAAATCTAGTTACACGTTGATTCATTGATTACAAACAGCATCCTTGAAAGATAATCAAGATTGTGAAACAGATAATGAAACAGGTGAAATAACCGACAATTGGCGCACTGCACAAGCCTTAAAAATATTGTGGGCTATTTAGTATTTTAAAATTGTTTTGCTTGATCAAAATATCCTAAAACATGTCATCAAATTGAGTGCTTATTGTTTGAACAGATAACGTTTGCCTATACGAAAAACCGTTAAGGACCACAGAAAGTGGTATAGATCAAAGCAAGAAGCGCATGTTTCTAAACTTGTCACTCTTTCAAAATATATAAATTGAAAATGAAAGCCCTGTCAGCTCGGTAGATCCCTCCAGAAAGGTTTATCGGCAGAGATGTAACAGCCCGAAAATCTTTTGAAATCAGGAAATCGGATTTCGTGACAACAAAAATCTTGCTCTAAAACGAAACCAGTCCAAATGTCGATAAAGAGCATGGTATAAATAGCACAGATTAAAAAACTAAAAGCGTTAAATGACGTAAAGTGATTCATTAACCAAAAATGCGAGTTGTATATGATAACGCTGAAGAGATATGGGTCGATCGAAACTTAATTCTGCTGGTATCTAGGCTTTTCAATGTTAAATTATCTTCTTTCTGAATAACGATAATGTGCTCACAAAATTTACATTAAAAAAAATCACTAAAAACATTTCTTAAATATGAAGCAGAACTAACAAATTTGCCCATCAGCTTGCAGAGACAGATACAAGCCTGTAAACAACCCGTCGAGTCTGAAGGGCGATGAATTTTAAATTTAAAACGGTTTAGATTGTTGAGTTATATTTCACGCCAGAAAATTAAAAATAGTTTGCAATATAAATTAAAAAAAGAGATGAGTCGCTCATTGCAATGGCAACTTTAAAATGTAAAATTGCTCCAAAAAGAACCCTTGTCATAATAACCATTATTATATTAAATTAGCCATATTTTTTCGAGAATGGTTCTAGTGTTAATAATTGTTGTCTAGTTATTATTATTATTATTATTATTAGTTTCTAAGTTTTAAATAATAATTTGTTTGATTCAGATGCAACTGACAGAACAGAATGTTATCTGACGTAAATATCCAAACATTATTAACAAGTTATAAGTAAATTAAAAAAAAAACTCACTCAATTTTTTTTTGTCAAACTGTTCACAGTATTCCAAAATTGGTGAGGTAAGATGTATTTTTGTGAATGTAATTGTACATAGAAATAAAATAAGGGCCGAGATAAGATAGAAACGATGGCGCCTTGTATCTTTCTGATAACAATAATTACTGTGACCGTGGGTGACGGGCAGATCTTCAGTTGTAGGTTTAAATATTTATTAACTTTTGAACGAAAATTGGGTTTAAACGCTAGTTCATAAACACGTCATTCAGAATTCAGTAAAAGACCTAGCGAAAAATATTAATATGCATTGCGAGTCTTATCGATTTACGTAAGCATATTTTAAGCAGGTGTAAGAACAAACTAAACCTGAAAACAAGGCACTAGTCGTAAAACAAACAACATTTACACAAATACACGTCTGGCATGTTATATTTATTATTTACCCACTTTACCGCATTATTGGTTTATGTTGTAGTGTTTAAAAAATGATTAACCTTTGTTTTAAATTATGTTCAACTTATAAGTTTAAATGAAATTTTTGGATCATAATGATATTAAATTTATATACAATTGTAGTAGAAAGATACAAAGCAGTTCTAGCAAAAATAGCAAAAGTGGAAGAACACACGAGAAAAAAACGCGTACGTACCAGGATGTTCGCAGACGGTTAAGATGCAGAAAAATTTACAACAATGGAATTAAAACGTTTAACGCTGTTTTTCCATGTACCAGGTTCACTAAACTTCTTCGTCAACGGTTTTTGTTTTGTTTTATAAACTTTTGTTTAAGAAATCAAAGGTTTCCTCTTGGAAATCCCAGCCAATAAAGCCATGCTAGAGTTGCATCAATTATTTTAAAAAAAATCTCATTGTCTATTTGAATGCAACTTGGAGCCCCAAGGTTAGAACCGTCGAGGTCTTAAGAAAACAAAGAATGCATTTGTCAAAAAAATTTCATAAAAGCTTGTAATTGAGTAGATTATTTAAAAGGACACATCTGAATACTATTGCGAGTTGACGAATGTGGTTCAGTCCTCATTTTTCTCCTTAGACAACAAACAGAAAATGTCGCGTTTTCGTAGATGTACTCTAAAAAAGAAATGTCAGAGCCAATGTGAACAAGGAAGTACTTTAAGTTGAATTTCAAGAATGTCAGTTGTTTGCCAAGTGCGTTATTAACGCCAAAGGTTCTGACCTAGGGTCACTTTTACTCTTGAGATAGAAGAAAGCTTTGCGATCTTAGTACTCACAAGCGGAAGTGTAAGCACAAATACACAATTGTGATGCAATGTATGTAACGAATAGGTTGTTGAATAGTGCAATGCTGAAAAATTACACTGATGCACGGAAATTTTTCTCTAAAAGAAAAATAAACTGCGTGTGATGCAACGATTTATGGCTTGATACTAAATTTGACGGAACTGTAAATATTGAGCAACCGATTTGTTTCTGCCATTTTTTCCAAGCAAACAACAATTCACAAACGTTAGATAATGCGAACAAAGCTTTAAAAATAATACAAACGCGGTGTTTTATGCGCTTTTAAGCTTGTTTGTTATTAGTATTATTTAGGAACGATCCCATTGCAATAATTCATTCACCAGGCGCCAGTGGTCTGAGTTTAAACAGGTAGTTGACTCCATTATAGACACCTATTAATATTCAGGTTATTGGACATTACCTGCCAAATCTTCAGTTAACTGCCTGAGATGTCATAACGACGCCTGCTCATCCAACGGGTCCTAAACACAGAGGTCAGACATTAGAGGTCATTCATTATAATTGTTATAAATCGTATTATTACGTCTAGTGTATGTCACTCAGTACCATCCGGCTTATCGTGCAACCTTTCTAAACCGCGTTTGATTTAAGGAAACGCCATACTGCGTTACATTTATGATTTGTCCGTTTAGACTCTTTTGAAGTCACTGCAGGATTTCCAGGGCGTGGTGAAAGTTGCTGAAGAAAGTCCGTAATAAACATCCTTCTCGAGGATTCCTGACAATTTCACACCGGACGTGGTCCGTGCTTGAATTCCGTCATCGAAAGACGGATCAACTTCAAGTTCAAAAGTAACACAACGCCTGTCTCGTTTGCAAGTTTGCCGATAGGATAGGAGTTAGATTGAAACTGAACTATAATATATTAGACTATAACTATAATATACATTTAGTCCGTGCTTTACTAAAACAATACAAATGTGTAATTGGTTACTGGTTATTTTCAAACTCCATTTAGCTTTATAAAACAAAGAGAGCCGGAAAATTTGAAAACAGTCGAAATACAGCGAGAAGGAGAGAGGGAAAAGGGTGTTAGGAAGAAGGAGAATGAGGGGAGAGAGAGAGAGGGGGGAGAGAGGGAGAGAGACAGACAGACCGGCAGAGTTAGAAAGAGAGAAATAGGAAAGAATGGAAGAACATGAGTGAGAGAGCAAGTTTTTGGTAAAGAGAAAATCATTGAGGCTGGGAATGCGCAAGAGTCAGAGAGAGAGAGAGAGAGAGAGAGAGAGAGAGAGAGAGATTATTTTGACAGAGAGAACATTTTGGCTTTGATCTCTTGTCAAGATTTGGTGAAATGCACGTCTGCTTGTATATATGTGCTTGTATAATATGCCACCCCCATGAGAGCGAGAAGGAGAGAGGGTTGGATTTTATTGAAATCACAGGGTGAAGAGTTCGGCCATGATCTCTTATTAATTATTTGGATAAATGTGCGCACGAGGAGAGAGATAGAAGGAAAGAGAGAGAGAGAGAGAGAGAGAGAGAGAGAGAGAGAGAGAGAGAGAGAGAGAGAGAGACAGACAGACAGACAGAGAGAGAGAGAGAGCTAAGAGGGTAATGAGAGATTATGAAAATTGTATCAAGTAATTAACAAAACAAGATATAAAGCCATACATGACAAGATTTTTAGGAGGAGGAAGAAAATAAGAAGAGGTAACAATATATTGATATGGCTATAAGATAAATATGGAACTAAAGATATATAGATATAGATTAGATATATAGAGAGGGAGAAAATGATTGTTTATTCTGTAAACGTTTGCCAGCCTATTAAATAATTAAGGACTGGATAAAACAGTGTTTTTTTAATTTATTAATGTTTAAGATCTTGTAAATAGTTCTGCCATTGTTTTCTCTAGTTTATCGACCAGAGGCCAGGTCACTTTATCTTTTCAATACATATATAATAAAGTGAGTTGTGTTTAATTTAATTTATTATCTTTCTCCTATATATATTTGGTTATACGTCTGTCAAGGTGTCAACTTTCCAGCAAACAAAAGCAAAGGTAAGGAGCGTTGCTGCCAATTGCGGACTTCTTCCAACTCACGCACAATGTAGGTGAAGTGTTTGAAAGGGTGAGCAATAAATCGCAAAGGCTATTTATCCCCTGTTAGGCCAAACAAAACAAGAAGTGCATTTCTATTCTAGGAGGAAAATCTAAAAATAAAAATTCAAAGAAAACAAACTACCAATGTTGAATCACATTGTCGGGCCGTATGGAAACAGTGCTTTTCACCCACATTCGTTATTGCTCTTGCCACCAATTTACAGAATGACTGTCAGTTTTGCTCAAACGGCGACAATGAGGGAAATAATAATTTCATAACAACAAACTGCGTTTTGAATATTCCTTTTAACCACAACTGATTAAATCACAAACGAATCGCATTTCCTTTTCCTGTTTTCTGCTACAGTTTCTATTTTTAATATTTGTGTAAGGGTAATTTATTCCTTAAAAAACATGTCTGACGAGTCTTGGAATTGATTGCGACAAAAATTGTTAAATCCACTGCTTACATATCTATCTGCTATCCGATATGCTGATTTCAAACTTTCACTAATGTCTATTTCAGTTAATCGCAAGCCAAATATCATATTTTGTTTTATGTTAGCTTACATAAAAACACTTCAGCTCTATATAACATTGCATAATATATTTACCCCCTTAATTGTGGACTTAAAACGATACCATAGCTCTTAAAAGGAACAGTATAACATAACCCCCAAAATCTTCTAACTATAATAAAAGCGAAAAAATTGAGTTGTTAAAATTTTCATTATATATATNTATATATATATATAAAAATGAAAATTTTAACAACTCAATTTTATATGAATTTATTTATTTTGATATGAAAGTAAAAACTATATATATAACATATATAGTTTTTACTTTCATATCTATCCCACACCTACAACCTTTAAAACCATCTGTCTACCTATCGCTAAATGGTTGGTGAATCCCTAGCATCAACTGTAAAAGTATAATAAACTCGACTCTTTCTGGTTTACCGATCTCCATCTTACTTCATTTGGAATGTTTTTACGTTTGGTAGGTGCGATGAATGACCCTACCTCGATTGGTACATGCGGTGAATGTCCCTATCACATTTAGTAGATGCGATGAATGTTCTTACCACGATTGGTAGGTTCGATTAATGTTCATATCACGTTTGGTCAGTCCGATAAATCCATTGCGATGTGATGAATGTGAGAGTTAGCGAATCATCGCAGAAACTAACGGCAGGCTACTAAATCTAGACGCGCTAGGACTAGAATAATGTTGGACTACTGATTGGGCACTGCAGACTCCGGAGTGGCAGAAACAAGCCTGTGCAGAAATTGCCAAGAAGAAACAGCGGAACGTTTCCTCTGTTGGTGCGAAGGCCTGTGCGGGCTGAGATTCCTTTCCTAATCTTGGGAGAGTAAAAGCCAGGGCCTGTAGGATACACGGGAGCCCTTCAAAAAGCTTTGGGGTCTGATAAAAAGCTTTAAGCTTAAAGAGCAGCTCTAGATTAAAAAAAAATGGAGATTGCAAATAGACCAATGCTGGTCGCATTACGTAGGATTGTAGAGTCCGGCTCCTATACATTCTAATCTAGTCTAGTGAATCTTTCCAAACAAGAGGATACCATCCCTCGGTTAAATATAATCATTTAAAAGTCATTAAAACCTTACAAATAAAATACAGTGACCGACTTTCCTGAAGCATTCAATTTGAGTTAACCGCCAAAACCAATCTAATATTACAAAATACATGAATTTGATTTCATGGAATATCATGTTAAGTTGATAAGTCAATCTCATTCACCATGTTCCATCTCGAGTAGTCATCGTGAATGAACCATTCAAAAGCGTTCACAATCAATTCAGCTCATTTTTCAGAAATGTTCAAAGTCAATGTTTGTAAAATTATTAAAAAAAGTAATCCCCCAAAGGTCAAAAATTTCTGCACAAACAAAATGCAGTAACCGATTTCCCTGAAGCATTCGATTTTAAGTTAACCACCATAAGCAATCTAACATTACAAAATACATGGGTTGTTTCAATAGTGAAATATCATGTTGATAAGTCAATCTCATTCACCATGTTCCAGTTCGAGTAGTCAACGTGAATGAACCATTCAAAAGCGTTCACAATCAATTCAGCTAATTTTTCAGACTGTTCAAAGTCAATGTTTGTAAAATTATAAAAAATAGTATTCCTCCAAAAGTCAAAGGTTTCTGCACAAATCAGTCAGTAACCAACTTTCCCGAAGCATTCAATTTTAAGTTAACCACCAAAAGCCATCTAGCATTACAAAATACATGAGTTTGATTCAATAGTGGAATATCATGCTAAGTTGATTAGTCAATCTCATTCACCAAGTTCCAGTTCGAATAGTCAATGTGAATGAAGTCATTGTTTGTAAAATTATAAAAAATAGTATTCCCCCAAAAGTCAAAAATTTCTGCACTACAATCTCCACGGTTATCACTCATAAATTGACTCATCCGTACAGAATGTTTACGATGTTTGCTTTGAAATGCCGTTAACGATGATATGATTAAATCGCTCTGAAGGCGAGCAATTCGTGTTTATAACGAGGAGCACCGTTAATTAGAAATGTTTTTTAGTAACGTAGAAGTTCGTGCAGAGTGATTGACCTTAAACAATTCAAGGTTGAGCCCCTCGTATCAAGTTAGAATGTCATTGGGGTACAACCAACATTGCCGCACATGTCCGGAGTATACATGGTTCAAAAAAGAGACTTATTATATTACACTAATAAACAAGGGGTAAGCGATTTTTTTTTCAATTTTGATTTATAATAATCCAGTAAAAATATTAGTTTAGTTATTTGATTAATTATAACTTATAAGTATAATAACCCTAGGGCTTTGTTAATACATCCCCCTATTAAACTAAAATGTTAAAATGCAAAATAAACGTTTTGCAAATAATGTATATGTTGAACAAGTTGTACGATAAAAATGGAAATAAACATTATATTCTATTGTATGCTTTCTTTTTTAAAAGAAGTTACTTGTTTTTAGAAAAATCAATTGATTGTGTTTGTTTTAGTTGTTGATATTTTCTTTAAATTTAATTGATGATAACAGCTTAGAGATTTTCAGGGACATACATCTCCAAATGGTCATCGATTGAAGATTTCCTTTGATTTTTCTTTGATATTGAACCGACTGGTACGAAGAAGTATTTTGATCTATTTCCCCAGTCGAAGAGCAATTACGTTATTATCACTTATTTTTCTTATTTTCTCCCACAAATTCCAGCTTACAGATGCTAAATATCCAATACAACATAATTTATCTATTAAAATTAGTCTCAACTTTTCAAAATTTCTTTTCAAACATAAAATGGAATTCGCGACCAAATGGTAAAAAAGACGCTTTTTACAATGGGCCAAGGAATCGCGGAGATTATAAATACTGCTAGCTACCAGGAGAAAGACGTCCTT